GGGTGTGTGGTATGTGGTTGGGGCTGCAGGAGCGTGTGGCTGTATGGGGAGGTTATGGTGGGGCATGGGAATGTGTGTGGGTGTGTTGGGGGTTGTGGAGGGATGTGAGTCTGGGAGGGTGTGGGGGGGTTGTGGGTATGGTGCAGGTGGGAAGATGGGAGGGTGTGGGTGTGTGGAGGGGTGGGAGTCTAGGATGGTGTGGGTGTGTGTGGGGATATGGTGTGGGGGTGGGGGGTTCAACATATTACACTCAGATCTCCTCTTGCAACCTCAAATTGGACATCTGGATTAGAACAAGATTTAAAAAACAAAAACACGACTTAGTCACAGAAAAAGAACCCTCCACTAACTTCTGAGTAATAAATATTTACATTGCGTGCTTTGAATACTATACAGGTTTTAAATTATTTTAAAGAGGAATAACAAAGCTTTTTTTTAAAAAATGGAAAAATTACAAAGGAAAGGCAAGCTACACTGAGCGTGCATGTGCTTAAGTATTCACAATGAAGAAAGTACTGCATACGAGCCACAAAAATGCAAAGGTCTAGTGGAATTCCAATCAAGTATACAGCTGCTACAAGAGTGACATGTTTCACAACGCTCAGGACTGTGATGTGTTCCAGTCAACTTCTATTGTGGAAAAATAACCTTTTTGTTTTTGCTCTGCATATCGGCACAAACTTCTGTTTCTGAAGCAATTCAGTCAAATTTCTCTTTCCTTTCTTATATGGACAAAGGGAAAAAAAAGGTCACAGTTAAAAAGGACATGGATCTAATTATTTCCAAAAAGGAAAGTGGCAGAAAAACTCCACAAAAGACAAAACTTTGGAAGCAGTCAGAAAGAGCTTATGTTTCTACAGTTTACTTTGAACTTGATTTTTACTAGACCTCATGTTTCAGTACTTTTCATAGTGTAGGATTGTGTAAAATGCAGCGGCTTGCAATATATCTAGATATACCTATATAGATAGGTATATCTAGATATATCTATTCACACAATGTATATACTGTGCCCTTTAAGAGCAATTCAAGCAATATAGCTACGATACCGACTCACCCCATTGCCTAGGGAAGATGCCTTGGCCACAGCCAGAGAAGTCACTTGTAAGATGCTCTGCTGGAAAAATGCAAGTAGAATTTGGAAATCTTGGGGCAGAATCGGGGACATTTTGCGCACTGTTCTTCCTGCCCTCTCCCCAGTCGGTCTTAGAGGAGCCCTGCTTGCTCTCATTCTGGAGAAAAGATGAAGCCTGAAGCAGCAGGAAGAACTGGGCTTTACCACAGAACCTTGCACACAGCCAAGACTTCTGCAAGATTCTTTTTCCCCTTTGAACCATGTTTTTGACCTGTACCTCTATGGGATGGTTTTAGGACCTGTGTTTACTGCATCTGGAGGCCCTTTGGGAGTGCAGGAAAAGACACTGTCTGATGCTTGAGAAAGGGTCAAGTAGCTGTCACATCTAAACCAAAGACGGGGAGGAAAGTGGAGCAAGGTTTGTGACAGCGTTGCAGAGGGAGGGAGGAAGGAAACGTGTTTGAGCCCCACCACATCGTCCTTGAACTAACTAGGAACAGTGGCTTTTGCCATGCAGATTTTTTCAGCTCCTTCTAGCCAGGAGCACTGCAGCTGGATGGGATGGTGCAGCTGCCCTCCAGCTCCCTGTGCCACCTGACAGCAGAGGGCTTGGCCCACACAGAGCATAAAGACATTTTTAAAAGGGCCAAATCCCCTTCTGGAGATGGCCGAGCTTCAACATGCACTGCTCTTAAAAGGGACAGTATATAAGAACACCACAACTGCACTTTAAGAGACCTCTGTTCAGGTGTTAAATACTTTAACACAGCAAAGTTCAGCAAGAAAAGCATCTATTTGGCTTGTTAGACATTCCTAGAAGCTTAAGAATATTCCTCAGAGGGTGATCCCACCCGCTCCTCCACATGTTGCCTGGTGGATTTCTCTCTATATTAGCTTTCTCTTGTTTGCAACACTTTTTTTCTGTCTGCAGCTGGTATCGTGTCTGTGGTTCCCTCTCTGTGGGACGGCATATCTAGTTAGGTTTACAAGGCAGAATAAAAGTCCAGAAAGGTTGGCCAGTATGTATTAGTTAAAGATTCCCAGTAATAAAACCTTTGCTGACAGATCCAACAAGTTCAGATTCTGCTGTTCTGATAGTCTTGGCAGACCTTGGAGCAAATCCTTTTACAGCTGACCCAATAAGACAGGTTACAGGATGACTGAAGGTTGCCATAAAATAGGAAATCAGACACTGGGAGGTCGAGGGGCAAATGCCAGCTCATTTAAGCCAGAGTTACTGCTGGGGCTTTACCCATCATCTGCAGGGTCCTGGATTTACAAAGAACTGGTTCCCTCAAGCAACCTATTCAAAACTTCTGTGCATATGGCCTTTTCTTTGGGGTGCATACATGTGGGAAAGCCTAATGGAGTAAGGAAACCATCAAATCAAATACCCTCTTCCCTTAAGCAGTTTTGGGACCCTGCATCTAAACAAGCCCAATGATCCACCCCCCAACCAGCTGCACGCCACAGGGTTATTATGGGACAGCACAAGCAGAAAGCTTTCTGAGCTTGCCTTGGACTTGCCGTTGCTCCAGTACCTTTCCTCTTGCTACCCGGCTTGCTCGCTGCTGCTTCCACTTCTCTCCCTGCCTGCCTTGCACTGAGCATCTACCACCTGAGTGCTTCCACTAGCCTGCATTGCCTTTCTCCCTGTCCTCGCCCACTTTTACACCTGCTGGGTCCAAAGATGGGAAACGTCCCCATATCAACTTCAGTTTTCCCTCGTTGCCTCCACTGGAGCACCTGACCCAGTCTGCACAGTCCAGAAGCCCACCCCACTGCCAGTCAGCACACCGCAAACTCTTCCTCCAAGCCAGCTCACCACCTCGTTGTGCCAGGCAACACAAGCTGCACAGCTCTGCTAATTACCAAGCTCCTCTAGTATTATAAAAGCAGGATCTAACAGAAACCCAAGTGAAGCAAATAGACGCCAGCGACTCATTAATCAGAGTACCTGTGCAAAGCTGAGGGCCTGAGTCTCAAGAAGAGAGTCTCTGGGATGAAGTGTACAGCAGAGGAAGGGTGACTTCAGTTTCCCCCGCCTCCAAAAATCATCCCCATTAGGATCCACTTGAGGCTCAGTGAAAGTGTACCACACAGCAACAAGCCCTGCCTGTTTATAGCCGCCGCCGCCTCACCCTCATCCTGTGGCCTCCTGCTATTGGCAGTGCAGCTGTAAAAGGGGGACATAACACACCTTTATGTTGCACTCAAGAGTTAGCAGATTCTGAACAAATTCACTGAGCAAAGCAGCCACTGCAATAGCCCAGGGCAGAGAGGAGCCCATACTGGGAGGAATGGTTGACATGGCTTCTCCGCTACAGCCAACTCAGCTGGCGTAGAAGCAAGCAATGCTCCCTACCACCCTTCAGGATGAGTGCACTGTTCGGAGGTGTTGAGTTCATCCATTTAAGTGCACCCTTGTGAGGAAGAAGTTACAACACTGAAGGACCCCAGCCTGTATCCCATGGGCTTGATCCTCTGAGGAGAATTCAGGGCTGGAAAGCTAACGGAGCAGAGCAGACATCCGCCAAACCCCGACTGGTAGGGACGGAGCCTAGGAACAAAAGGACTTCCTCTTCTGGTGGCTGCTCAAATAGAAAGGTCACAGAAAGAGCAAGCTGGCTATTGTACGTGTCAGCTGAACGGCTGTGCTGCATGCGCAAGGGCTTATACAGTATATGGACACAGCAGGTGAACAACCCAGCTCCCTGGCAGTAGCTAGCCTCAGCTCCGGCCTGTCACAGCATGGACGGCCCCTCCGCGTGCACCCTCTCCACACAGCATGGTGGGCACACAGGGTGGAAACATCCAAAAGGACCAGCCCATCCTGAGGTCCCTCTTGCCCAAACACTGGCAAGAAGCGGTAGGGAAAGCTCCTAGTCTGTTCTAGGGCCGGCAAGTACTAAAGAATGCGTACACCTCAGCGTGGGTGTGCACGGCTCAGCGCCAGAGCTGAAGAGCTATGGGTCCCTGCTGAACTCAATACAGGCAGCAAGTTGTGCTGCTCTGCTGCAGGAGAGGAGTACAGACAAGGGGCAAGGCTGTGTGCCACTGGGGCTGGTCCATGCAGGGTTGTGAGCACATAAGGAGCAGCTCTTAGACTCTCAGCTATTAGTCCGGGAAGGTGGTTGGGCAGCTGGCCTGACCCCAGAGTCTCTGGGAGCAGCAAGGGCCGGGTCAGGTCCTATGGCTGGGTGGAGAACACATAAAAGTCTATTACAGGACAGGGGCGTAAGAAGGGGGAAGGGTCATGAAAGTGCCCAGTGTGGCATGGTCTCCCCGCTTCTTTTCCCTTTGATGCAGCATCTCACCACATCCCTCTGCCTCCAACACGCCTAGGCACAGCACGGCACCCTGGGAGTTGGGGCAGGGAGAGATGGGCATTTCAGCCCTCCCTTGCCTATCCTACATAGATGCACAGACAAGCACAGCAGCCCAGCTTGGGTCCAAGGCAGGGGGGGAGACAACAGAACCCATTTCCTACCATGGAGCAGAGATGCAAGGCTGGCTAGTGGCTTCAAAAGTAGGGGGTGGAGGGAAACACCAGTCATGGCCTAGCAGCACAAAAGCAACTCCCCTCCCTGGGAAAGCAGAGCTTTAACCAGCTCTAGCACCAGCCTTAAGCCAGAAATCAGCACAGCCTGTGAAAACAGAGTTCCAGCCAAATGCTGCAGTTTCAAAGCTAGGCAGCAGCTTCACTCCCTAGAGTTTCTTAGAAGCACGGTGCAATGCAACTGAAACTACGAGATGGCCAAATGAGGGTTGAAACCCAGTGCTGGACCAGCATTTACATGCAGTTCCTGGCCTGCACTAGACAGGTCCTTATACCAAGTCAAATCAGGCCTGAAACCAGGGAGTGGGGGGGCAGCACGTGGAGTGTCATTGGCAGTGCAGTGACTGAGCTAGTGGCTGTCCTTGGCAGGCAGAGCAAGGGGGGTCTTGGCAAAATAGCTGCTTTGCTGCCGAGCCCCCCTAGTTCAGGGCTGCACCTGTGCTGCTAGGTTCCCTCTGTCTCCTCAGCTGTTTCCAATCTGCCCTCCCACCTGCTTTGCTGCTTAACAGGCGTGCATTTGTTTTAAGCCAGCTTCCATTGGGGCAGGCAGGGGCCACAATACTGCTGTGGTTGGGAGCATGCGGGAGTTTTGTGACTCATTCCAAAATGTCCCCAAAGTGGCATCGCATCACAACTACTGCCTTTTGTAGGCAGGAGGAGCAGGATTCTGGGGCTGAGTGAAGGAAGGCAGCATTTGGACTGAGCGGAGCATTTCCACAGCCACAGCTGGTTCTGCTTTGTGGTCAGCATCCATCCACCCTCCAGAGACTGGAGGAAGGGCCCTAGTACTTTTGAGGGGTGACAGGAAGAAGGGGCAGTAGGTGGAGGCTAGACAGCTGCTGCTAGGCTGCATTTGGACTATTGAATCCTGTAGCACATTGCTCAGACAGCACGGGAGACTAGAGAGGGAGGATCATGGAGGGCAGCAGGCCTTTGGGCCAGGTTCTGTTGAAGCCTGTGTTTCAGACGAATGTTGGGCGTTCCGTCTGCAACTGTCTGAACCTGGCATGAAGCCCCACCAACACTCCCCTCCCTCTGCTCTGCTGGGCTAGTGGCCGTCAGTGCTGTGACCCAGGCCCAAACCTGACCGCAAGGGCTGTTTACAACTCAAACCGACCTGCTCTTCCTGCTGCTTTTGCTGTGGGCTTTTCCCCAGAAGTGCAAGAGGCAAGTTCCACGGTCAGGGTCCTGGCGTGCACAGAGCCCAGGATCAAGCAACAGCAATGCAGCGAGTTCGGGGCTGCACTGCCCAGGCCCTGTGCCTGTCCCACCACAGTCGGTATGACAGTTAGCTTATCAACAGGCGCCCAGCCTTAATACTGACACTTAGTGTAATGGTTGTTCAGCGAAGGAAGGATTCTCCTACAAAGAGCAGCAGGGGACCAAGGTCCATCCCCTCCTCCCTTGTAGTCTCTGAGGCATCTCATGAAGGAGGAGGAGGCACAGAGCCCTTGGGGTCAGGGAAGACCCATGCCCAGTCGGATCAGGAGTGTCTAGACCAACAGCAGCGAGGATGGTTGGAAGGAACAAGAGACAAAACAGTGCTTGTGCTGCGTGGCCATGAGCTGCCAGGTACGGGCGTTCGAGCTGAACAGGGAAGGGGAGGGAGGGGAAAAAAAAAAAGAGCTAGTCTTTCTTCAAGTCCCTGGATTCAAAAAGCTTCAGGCGTTCTTGCACCGTCAGGCCTTCCTTCAGACTCTGGGGAGACAAGAGAGGGACAGCGTCAAAGACCCAGCAGTAAAGCCAAGCAATGAGGTGTCTGGCAAACACAGGGATGGTACAGATGCTGAGGCAAAGGAAACAGGAGGAGGGGACGGCCTCCTCAATGGAAAAATTAGTGGAGCATGCCAGAGAGAACACGCTATGATGGGATGTTATTATTGGTGAATCAAACCTAGAGAGAGTGAGATTGGAAGTTCCCCGGGTGGCAACTGCCGCAAATGAATGAGGCACACAGGACGGCGAGCTTGGGGAGCCTGGCTCATAAAACAATCCGTGCAGCTTGCAGAGTGTGGGCCCAGCTTCAACAAAGCCCTTGGATTGTACAAGGATTCCAAGCAGTCCTGCTGGGCTCTGCCGAGAGAAACAGCTCTGGAGCGGAGACGCATGCTGGCCTCCCCTGACTGCTGGGGAATCCACACTAAGTACTTATAGCCCCATCTCCATTGTATGCTTTGTCCAAGCAACCCTGAAACTGCAGCTGACCGCTGTGTTGCAGTCCCTACTCTGTGCTGTGACGCCAGCCTACGCCTTCCGCAGCTGGATGCTACTGACCAAATCGAGCTGGTGGGAATCTCATGAACTGTTTACTCCACGATCTAGCGAGACCAAACTCATGACCCGCCTCAGATTTGAAACCCGTATCTCTGGAGGCAAAAGACTCAGCTGGTGAGATGGCAACTTCTACCCTTCACGCCCCCCGTACTGGTGTTTGGGAGCTTGGCACTGAAAGCCTTCTCAAGCATGGAGGAACAGGACAGAAGTGACTGCAAAAGTATTGCTGTCTCAGGTGGCCAGCTGCCACGGCCAATTTACTCAGCAGTTTTGGGATCTGGATGTTCGGTTACAATCAACATGCAGCAGCTCTGAGAGACGGGGCTTTCTGCACCATCCTGATCATGCAGCTCCTGGCAATGTTCCCATTTCCCTGCAGCTCCCCACTGGGCAGCACCAGAAAATTAACAGGAGCAATCACAGCAGCATAGGCCCAAAGCTAAGATCTGTTTAACAACTGGTTGCTGGGGCAGGCAGGTTCCGAGCTCCCCATGAACAGGATCGTTGGGACTGCAATGGCCACAGTCTTTCTGAAGCTCCCCTGACATGGTCAGGAACATAGAACAGCTTTTGGCAAGTGGATGAAAAGCAGGACCTGAAAACTAGCCCGTCTGGGTTCACTGCCTGAGCTGTGAGAATCAGCAGCCCATTGTAAATAGGAAGAGAAACGGCGACTTCTGTTCCACTCCAGTTCTCTTTCTTTCCAGTGGACAGAAAAGAAATTTGGAGTTCAGAACCGAGCGTCTCTCTGGCACAAGCATCTAAGTAGGCCAGAGGTAGGGCCTGTTCAGCCAGCCTGCACCTCTGAATTCTCACTTTATGGGAGGGGACAATGCAGTGCATGAGACTCCACTGCCAACAGCGACAAGCAAACCCCTCACTTGGGAAGGCGCTGTTGAAATAAGGCAACAGTCTCCTATCCCAAGAGCTTGGAGTGAAAGGATGGCAAGGAAATAAAGACACCTCCAGTCCAATTAATACCAGGCTGGCAAATTCCCTCAGCAGTCTCTCCTTTTATCACTACTTCCTCCCTGCCAGCTCCGTTCCAATCTCAGCATCTTTGCCACATGATGGCAAACACATCACTGGAACTGTCTCCCTTTGTCATGAGCTGCTTTCTTCTGCTGGATGAGCTTGGAGTCCTCAAAACAACATCTAGGATGCAGCGTGGGGGGAGAGGGCATCATTTCACCCATGCCACAACCCGACCATGAGAAACCTATGGCTCCCTTCTTCCTGCAAGCCTGCAGGCTGCTGTGAGTTTAGTCAGAGGCATGCATAGTCATTCAGCATGCACACTCAGAGTGCCACGCCCCCGACACACCTAGCCAGGGAGTATGCCCGAGAGCTGTCCAAATCCTCCCTTCTGCTGGACGGGTGTGTCAGTGGGGGTGGGAGAGAGAGAGCGGGAGGGCGAGACAGCCACAGATCCCCTCGGGGAAGAGCCAAACGGGACAATTTGTATTTTACAGCAATCCAGGCTCCCCCGCCCTCCCGGGAGAATCAAATCTCAGAATCAAGAGGAGGAGGGGGTCTCGCTGGCTATGGGAGGCGTGAGCAGGTCATGCACGTGTGGGCGGCCCCCGCGGGGAGCGGCACTGCGTGGTGGGGACGGGTTCGTTTACCTACGTGACAGGGAACCTGGACTCTGGTTCATTTCAGTTTTCCCATGAGACCTGCTCAATAACGGACTGTGGGAGGAGAGAGCAAAACACAAAACAAGCAGCACGTCAGTCCCAATGGCATTTGCGCTCCAAGCCTGGCCTTGGCTCCTCCCAGCCCTCCCAGCCTCTGCCCATCTGTACAGGCCATGGCGTCTTCAGGTTGGAGTCTCCTTTGCCCAGATGCGTGCTCCAGACAAAACAGACAAAGACAAGGAGGGGACGACAAAAGCAGCAAATCAAGGGGCAGTGGAGAAGGGAAACCAACAGACCAATGCTGTGCACTAGCATGTCTGCTGCACCATTAAGAGATGCCCAGGGGCTGCCCCCCCAAGCTGCAGAGACTGAATGCACATGGTGGGGACACTCATGTATTTGACTGGCGCAGCCTAAGCACAGCAGTTGGCTGCATCAGCTTTGTACAGCTTGGACGATGAGCGTCAGTTCCTGCAGCGTTGGGACAGGACAGAGCAAGACGCCCATGACTGGCTTCCTGATGTGTCTGGCACTTACAACATCAGAACGAGATGCCAAACATTGAAGTTCCTGTGTCCCTCCCACTCAAATGCAGTGCCTGCAGCCCCATGGAGATGATGGAAATGCTCAGCAAGGTGAAATTGTGACAGATTAGAGGCCACACATGGGGGCCAGGGGCTGCATTACCAGGATTTGGGACAAAACCTGAGGCCCAGAACGGCCAGGCTGAAGCACTGAAAGCCATTGGGCTGGCAGCCCCAACCTGCCCAGGTAAATCAAAAAGTTTCCTTAGGACCAAGACATCTGGGTCCTAACAGACTGAAGATGCTGCAGGAGTTGACACCACGTTGCTGTCTATTGGCACAGTCACTTTCTGGTATCTACATGTACTCACAGCAGTTATACCCCCCACCTTGGCATTATGATGGGGAGCAAGTACCACGGGCTGGAAAAGCAAGGCACGCCCCTGGCTCTTCAAACTGCAGCTGTAGGAGCTGCCAAGGCAGGTTTGTAGCTGGACTCAGCAGGCTGCAGGCTCAGCCAGAGGCAATGGACCCAGCCCTACAGGATCTTGCAAGGAGCCTGCCACCGCACCGACTGCCTACCTGCACTTGGAGCAGCATGGCCATTATGATGGCAAAGCCTTGCTCAGCAGGCACTGGACTTGTTCCCGAGTGCTGTGGGCTGACGCAAATGCACAGCAGCACTGCGCTCCCACCCTGTCCCTTACTGGGACTGGAGTTCTGACCTACACCCTCCTCCTTGCCCCCTACCAGTCATTCTTGGTTTTTTTAATTTCTTGGGGCAGGCTTCCACACACCCCTGCTAGAAAGCAACATGGGGCACAGGCATCACAGGGGAGAGACGGGCACTCACCTTTGACCTGATATTCCTTAATTGCCGGCTAACACTGGATCTGTCTTTCTTCAGGAAATCGGGGTTACTTTTGGATTTCATGATGTCTGCAGGGAGCAGAAGGAGCAGAGTCAAGTGCTGCTCCCAGCCCACTGGCTGCCAAGTCTGGAGCCCATCATAGGGAGGCTGAGGACAGAGCTGCTGGCAGAGAGGCAAAGCAACCCAGTAGAAGTGCTTACTCCTGCTGAGCATGACACTGCTGCCCTGCAGAGCCACCCTGGCACAGGGGTGCAGGGGGCCAGCATGGCCACTCCCTCCAATTGCTCCACAAGGAAACAGCTTCCCTGATGCAAAGGAACATGCCAAGCATGACTCAGAAAGTGTTTCCAAAGATACAAGGGGCAGCCTCCTCTGCCCAGGCTGGAAGGAAGAGCTGCTGCTACTAGGAGCAAAAGCCCCTGGGCCTGAAGGGGAAAGACTAGGGAGTAATGCATCACAGCACAGAGGCCTATCACAGGCACTTCTCAATCATGACCAGCCTATGCTGCAGTATAGGCAACTGGAGGCAGCTGTTCTTGCTCCCATCATCAACCTCCTGAGCCCTCCCTTCTGCACACACCAAGCCAGTCACCCCTGCTGCCATGCCAGCAACTCAGATGGATCTTGGGTGGATGCCAAACCTGTGGCTTGGCCCTCCCAGCCCCCTCATCCCCACACACGGTCTATGTCAGGACAGGGCAACAGAAGACAGGACTGACCGTATCCCGACACAGATGTGTTCTCAGGGGATTTCTCGCCCAGCGCTTCTGTGGCCGCCTTTAGCTGCTCTTTCAGCCGGCTGATGTCGCAGTCTGCCTTGGCCTTCACGATGCTCAGCTCTGTGTAGATATCCTTGTGTTTGTCACTGGCGTATTTCTTTTCCTGGCAAAGGAAACCCAGCAGAGTCACTGCAGAGCAAGGCAGACAAATGAAGCCAGCCAGCTGACATGCTGACTAAAGGACAAGGGAAGCAGCAAGCTGGAACAAAGCCCTGGACATTTGGCCTTTCTCGATTCTCACTAGGCTGCACCCCAAACCACAAAGGAGCTGCTGGTGAGAGCTGGGGGAGAACTCAGACCACTGGTCTGAAATCAGTTACCGCCATGTGTGGTCAAGGGGGCTCTCCTTTGGCTACCAGCAGTCTAGGACACAGAGCTGAACAGTTCCAGTTCCATCCAGGAGAAAGCAGCGCATGCAAACGGGCCTGCTGCAGATACTATTGTTCGCAGTTTTTAGTTTTAACCTGAAAATGGCACGGATCTTCTATAACTATCAGAACCGCCCTTGGCCAATGCACCGTAACCAGCACAACCCAGTTACATGTTTAGAATGAGGTTGTTTTGCTCAGTTTAAGATCGACTGCTATAGGGTCCAAAACAAATCTCTGAGATTTGATGCTGCCAGGAGGCATCTTTATGGCATTAAAATGATAATCTCCACCCCTCTCCCCCTTCCCCACCCAAAGCATTTGATTCAATTAAGGGAGGAAAATATTTAAATGATGATGTGAATCCTAAATAAGTCAGCCACAACTGCTGAAAGCCATCTACCACTGCAGAGGGATGGCAGGATATGGACGGTGACAGTGACAGCACCAACCCCCAGCATTACCCGCAGAGCTGTCTGTAACTCGTCCTTAAGGGAGCTGATCTCCTGCTTCAGGTACTGTATTTCTGATTCCTTGACTCGCAACAGGACCTGCAGGGAAAAAAAAGGAACAGGTATTTCCACCCAGGAACAGAAGGGCTCCCACCACCAGCCAAAACATCACAAAGGGTGCGCTGAGCACACCTGGGTATCAACTGAGCAGGGACCGCAGGGCTCAGTTCAGAACGTGCTTCATGCCAATAGTCTCAGACAGGCCCTATCCCTGGGCAATCTGTGGATAGCAGCCAGGTCTGGGAAAAAGGTCCCCCTGGGGAACCTGAGGCTGGTGAGGATAACGCAGTGCACCCACTGGTGGTTGGATCAACCCACATGCTGTACTTCCACCAGGATCTCGTGGCCACATTGTGCCCTGAGCACAATTCCCATATTATGCATCGGAAATGGAGGAGAACAAAGCAGTCAGAAGACCTGGCTAAGACCAGAACAGGAACTGCAGAACTGAGGAGGGTCCTGGCTCTGCCTTGCTCTTGGGCCACCATGTGTATGGCCTGATTGTGCTCCTGGCCACCCCAACCTCTTCCCGTCCCACCAATGGCTGCTTCTAAGTGAGACCAGGGCCTAGAGGGTGATCCCTGCACCAGTGACCATCAGTGACCTCTTTGGCCACCCAAGCCTCAACCCGCTCTCTGCAACTGCTGCCACACCTGCACCAAGCAGCTGCTACTGGGGACAGAGCATTTACCTCCAACTCATAGGCATCCTTGCCCTGTGTGAGAGGTGAGCCAGCAGCCTCTCCCCCGCCCTCCCCAGTCAGCAGCGTCCGTAACTGCGTGATCTCAGCAGCCAGGCGGTTATTCAGCTCCTGGGAAAACAAGAGAACCACCACGTGAGTAGTGGGGAACAGGTGAACCCTTCAAAGGTTGAGATCTCTCAGCCTCATTTTCGGAAGTTCCCTAGGCACGCCAGTAGGTCCACTCATCAGCCCTGTTTGCCTTGCACAGCACCATCCCATTGGGCACTCGGCCTCCCACACCCAGCAGTGCTGGTTCTCCAAGCTAACTGACCAGGCGTGAGGAGCTCTCAAGCAGGCCGGGGGGTTGATGCCTCACCTGATTGTGCGCGTTGAGCTCCTGGTTCTCTCGCTGGCACTGGCGGAGCGCCTGCCTCTCAGCCTCCAGGGCCTGGGCCAGGTGCGCATTCTCCAAGCACTTCTGGGAGTACTGCTCTGAAAGGACCTCCAGTTCCCGCTGGACTGACTGCAGCTCCTCCCTGCAGAGAGGCAAAGCCCAGAGACACATCAGCTGGGCCTGCTCTCCAAGGCAAATCCAGGTGGCACCCCGCCCCCCTGCAGGCCTAGGCTGCCAAAACTCCAGCCTCACAGAAGAGGGAAATGCTCTCGGGTTTTGGAAAATCTTAAGTTCAGGTGACCAAGGAACCACCCTCTCTCCTGAAACTCAGAGGGGATTTCCAACTGCCTCACAGCCGACACCTCCACTGGGGAAACACTGCTGGGTGCTTCATTTGATCACTTAAAATGACCTGTGGGGCTGAAAACTATTGCACCTGTTCTGCGTATGCAGGGAAAGAGCGTAGTTGCCTGTTTGTGCATTATACATAGGCACCGTGGTTGGTTGGGCTGCTCACTAACTCTCCTATCTGCCATGTAAGAGTGGATCTGGGCCCTACTAAAGGAGAGTGTTCTCTTGTCTGAATACATCTGGCTTAACAATAAAGCCAGAGCTGTGCACAAACCGGCATCAGATAACTGCATTTTGCTTCTCGTATTGGTAATAACTGCTGGATGCTCTACAGACAAGTGTCTGGAGTCTGGCGCTGATGCTCAGATTTAAGGAGAGAAGCTTCCATGTCACTCTCCTCTGGTCTGGGACTGCTACCAACAGGACTGAAAATACACCAGCTCTCATAGCTCAGGGAAGGAGAGGGAGAAACCTACAGGTACTGCCTCCGCAGGGCCTCGATATCCGCGTTGACACTGCTGATCTGGGAGCGCTGGGACTTCTCCAGCTCCCGCTCCAGCTCCTCCCGGTGGGCATTCTTCATGGCTTCGATGGCTGTGCAAGATGGAAAAAGGATTAGCACCCCATGAGGAGGTGACACATTCACGGCTGCATTCAAACACAGCTCACCTTGGTGAGTAATCTCACTGCCTCACAATCACTTCATTTTCTGGCATCGGCTGTCAAGCAGAAAAGGGCTTCTGCAAATCCTGCTTTTTTAATGAAGTCTAACAATTGCCTGCTTCGCATGTGATTTCCTGATTATGAGGCTCCACACACACACAGAGCCTGGGCTTGGGCGTTTTAACATCCCAGTGGCACCAACAAATGAAGTCATTGTGGAACTAGCAATAAATCACCCACAGGAATGACTAATGCCTGGCTTCAGCAGGGCAGAAAACCAATCACTGCAGTCAAGCAGAGGCACACTGGACCTGGGGAGGAGACAGGAGACGGCTCCCCCCACTCTTACACAAATGGCCTAGGCCCCTCTCCCCTCACCCAGGCCTAGCCAGGGGATCCTCCCTTTTGAGAGCATGCCCCTCCACCCTCACGTCATCCTCCACTCTGCTGCTGGCTCCTTGTGACTGATACAGATGAGGCTACCACCTGCCTGTCCTGCCATTGCTCCCTGGAACAGCTACTCCCCCCTCCACCCTCTCCACAAGGCAGAGAGGACTGTCATTTCCACTACTCCGTGTCCCCTGAGCAACAAACCTGCCGGCCCCTTACCCGAGATGGTGGCAGCTGTTTCTTCTGCTAGCAGGCGGTCCTTTTCCTCCCGCAGTTTCTCCAGCTCCCGCTGATGCTGCCTCTGCAGATCCTCAATCTTCTTCTGATGCGTTTCCTCCATGGCTGCAAACCCCCGCTCACATGTTGCCTGGAGCAGGGAGGGAAGGAGCACACATTTGCCTTTGGGGCTGCAGCTGCAGGTTGAGGGTAGATGCATGCACAGCACTTGGGAGGGTGTCGCAATGGAGATCAGCCAACGGGCAGACAGACAGATAGTCGGACAGACCATGGATGGAAGGGACTGGTCCTGCCCTCACCTGACTGCAGTGACTGGCTGATCCAGCAGGTCCTTTCCCTCTCTCACTGCAGACTGAGTGACCAAACAGCCCTGCACCCTTTCCCCCAGCCTGATCTAGGATGCTCAGTCCCTTCACGTCCCTTCCCTGACCTACTACCTGCATTCCCCTGGATGCCCCTCCATCATCTGTTCTCTGCGTTGGAGGGAAGAGCACCACCCACTGGCTCGCTAGTATTACCACTGGTGCATCTCGAACAGGGCGCTGCTCAGCCCTTGGGATGGATAGCAGCATCACCGCTACCAATACAGATCCTGTCTGTGCTTGGCCATCATGGGCCTCAGGTTGGCACCCCCCAGGCCTCTCTCCTGCATTTGGCTGGGGGGCCTGGGCAGAAGTCAGCAGTGTTCCTGCTACCGACACAGCTTGCAAGCTCCCCCTGGCACAGCTGAGTCAGGCACCACACTGGCACCTGCTTGGCTTTGTTTTTTGGGGCATCATGCTCAGTCACGTTCCCTGTGACCTGCCAGAAGCAGGATCAAGCTTGGAACTCAGCACTCCTGTTTCCATCCTCAGGGCACTTTTGGGGATCTCCGCTGGCTCAAAGGCTTCCCTTTCATCATGGGAGCCAACCAGCAGTGCCAACCTGCTCCTCCTGGATCCCTACTTAAAAAGCAAGCTTCAGAAACAAGGCAGATGAGCAAAGCCACTATACAAATTGAGACTTCAGTTCTCCAAAGAGAAAGCCTGGTTTGACAGGCCCGTGCACAAGGAAACAGGGCAGGAGACCATGTGATCTAGATGCATGTAAGAACTGGGGCACAACGAACCCTGGGATACCTTGAGAAAGCCACGTTTGACACTTGCCTGTACTTGGGGCTCTTATACACTAATGGCATAGGCTTGCATTGGCCAAATGATCCTGATTTCACAGCTTTTCTGGCAACTCCAAACCAAGCTGCTGGGTCAGATCCACTCACGCTTATCCTAGCATAACTTAGTTCCCTTGACTAGGAAGGCTTTAATCTTGCCCTCTTCAAAGGGGTCAAGAATCCAAGCGTAATGCCTCCAGTAACAGTACCATACACCAGAGGTTCCCAACCCCTGGGCCGCAAAGGGTTGGCTGCCAGACCAGAAGTGGCATACTGTGGACCAGCAGCCAACCCTTTTTTAAACCGAGTTTAAAAAAGGGTTGGCTGCCAGTCTGCTGGTCACTTCCAGTCTGCACAACGCTGGTCTGCAGTTTGCCTGTCCGCAGCCTAAAAAGTTTGGGAATCACTGGCGTACACTACCAGTCTTTGCTTGAAATACCAGCCCTTGGGTACAAGCCAACAACCCAGTGCGGGACTTGAGCCCATGGCCGAATAAAACAGGCTTCCTAGGCTAGCTCTCTGCAGGTATCATGTCAAGGAGGAAATTGGTAAAGGCTCTCTACTCGTTTTAGTTGAGAGGTACAGTATTGAATGTATTATAAATGCATTGCTGTAAATCTGAGAAGCCAGAGTGCAGCCACACCTATCCCTGTTATTAGCAAGGCAGTAAAGTTCTCCATAGTACAGAAGAGAAACTAGTATTTTAATATGTATACCGGAGAGTTTAAGAAAAGCACCTGGTAAGCTTCCTACTTAATGACAATTAAATATGGATTTTAGTTCCTGCCCCCTCAATTCCTATGCTCTTCCAGAGCATGATACACCCAATCTGCTCTACCTCATCAGCCCAGGGCTGCTGGAGGGGTTGCAGGGGGAGGGGGCTTCTACTCTTTTCTCTATCTGACAGACTGAAGGTTTTCCAGCAGTTTGAAACAGCCAAGGACAAAACAATCTTGTGGGTGTTAGTGTCTGGAAGCAACCAAAAGGCCATTGTGAGTCACCGAAGAAAGGGAATTGCTAATGAAGCAAGACCACACCTCTGCACAAAGGACTCTCAGACCCTGCTTGGAGCCTGGCACGTAGCCCTGGACACGGACAGCAAAGCCTTTTTTGCTGGTGAGACAAGAGTATTATTTACTGTTGGCATGACTGACAACTGTGGGGGAGACCTGGTAAGAGCTCAGCGAGGGCTTTTCCCTTCCCAGGTCCCTGTGGCTCGAAGCATTCTCAGTTAACTGCCGACACAGCAGCATCCAGGAATGGAAGGACAGGAAGGCCATTTCCTCATCTCTCGACTGTCCAGCACCCAGGTGCTGAATGCTGGGTCTGCTTCCCAAGGGGAACAAGGAACTTGAGGGAGGTGCCCGTCTTCCTAGGCTGTTGAGCTAGTACTGGAACACCACCTAATCTTTCCTTACCTTCACACAGCCCAAACTGTATACTGTCCTGCCGCTGGAAGAAGGCTTGCCCAGCACTGCCCAACTCTAAGGTACTACTGCTCCTTACAGAGCCATCAACCAGACTTGCTTCTGCCATAAATCCCAGGTCCTTGTGTGAAGCCTGAATCAGCTGACCTGGCACATCCTCCTCACTGAACCCAGCCATCTGCTCAATGCTGTATTGCCCTGCTGCAGCACCAGTTCCAGCTGGAAGTGGTCTGGAGTTTTAAAAATAAACTAATGTTTTCAAAGATGTAATTCGAAAAGGGTGCGAGTCCCTCGTCAGCCCAGAACAAAGAAGCGTTGTGGAGAAATGCCTTTTGTTGCCATTGTTCCTCTTACAGACTTTGGTTAGTTGTAACAACTGTGCACTGTTTGTCATGCAAAATAAAACTGCTGGAAGACACAGCAACACTGGATTCCCCTGTTAGCAGCTTAGGAGCAGGGATTGGTATTCCCCACCCCCCCATAAAACTTGGACATCTTTTTGGCAGCAAGATTTCTGTGCCCCCCCCGCCTTTCCTCCATAACGATGGAGTCTGAGGACATTTATTTGCATTTCCTATTAGAGCTCGGAAGACAGCAGAGATCGACTGAAGGCTTGATCAGTCTGGGAAAGACAGGGCTCTGGAAGGAAACTTTGTATGGAGAGTCACACACAAAATATACATCTCAGGCAGGAGGAGGAGAAACAGTACAATGTTCACGACTGGGGAGGCTGGAGGATAGCACAACAATATTATTAAAGCAGGTTGAAATTCCCCGTCCCCCTAAGGACCCAGCGCCCAACACAGAGACCATTCCCAATCATGAATTTTTCTCACACAGAGACAAAGCCTTTTAAAACCCAAGTTGCAAGGGGCTGGAAGACCTGAGCAATGCATTTAGAATACCACACAGCACAGAAGTGGGAAGCAGGAAGAAACCTAGGTGTTTTTAACTGGTTTCTCACTCTCGACTGCCTTAGTTCTCATGGGGAATGTGCTCTTTCAGCTTGTATAAGTATGACCCTCCCAAGACACCAGAACAAGGTACTGGCAGGCAAGAAAAGCATAAAATTAAACATATGCAAAACCTTCAGGCTCTCAAAGTCTTTCTGATACTTCTCCCTCAGCATGGCCGTGCTCCCCTCTAGGTGCTTGTTCTCCAGCTCGTCTCGCATGGCGTCCATCTGGGCCTCCAGCTCCTGGATGCGCTCCCTCAGCCCGTGCATGGAGTTTAGCTCACTTTCAGAGATCTGCACGCCTCCACTAGGCTGCTCTGCTGTCCACGCGGTCCCAGGCCCTGGGGAAGGCACGGCCTCCAGGTGCTGGCGCTGGTAGCCATCGAGTGTTTCTTGCAAGCGCTGCAGGTTCTGGCTGTAATGCTCCTGCAGGGTCTGCAGCTCCTCGCTGTGGATGACTTGCAGTTCCTTCACCTTGGCCTGGAACCTGTCCTCCAGTGTCTGCATTTGCTCAAGGTGATACCTCTCCATGTCCTGCTTGTCTCGGACAACGGCGTCGAGTTGGTTCAGGCCCTCCGTCCTCTCTGCCTTTAGAGTGTCCTCAGTCCTGTTCAACTGCTCTATCACATTTCGTATCTCCTCCTCATACCTGCCTTGTAACTCGCTGATGCTTTTGCTGTGTTTGTGTTCTTCTTCCTCCAAGAACCTCCGCTGGTTCTCCAGCTGAGACACTTTTGCCTGAAGGTCTGCATTCTCCCTTTCAAGGACAGTTATCATCTCACCATATTCGCTCCGCTGTTTTCGAAGCAAGTCTTCATATTCCTCCCGAAGGACAGCAACAGCCTGTCCACGCTCCTGACACAGAGCGTCCATGTTTTGCAAGGACTCTTTGTAAAACTTTAGCTGCCTTTCATACTCCAGTCTAACTCTGCAAGCGCCATAACACACCTGAGCCTGGATAACTGCATCCTGAACTAACAAAGATGAGTATCGTTCAAGATCTCCCATGCTCTGAGAAACCTTCAGGAGCTTCTGACAATCCTGTATGGCTTCCTCAGGGGACAGGGATAGTAAGGCAACAGATATTTCCTTAAGAATATTTGCTTTATCTTTTAGCTGTAGGGCAAGATCTTCTTGAATAGCAACAAGAGTTTCACTACTCTGCTCTGTCAAACTCTGGCCCCCCTCCATCTTGACTGGGTCCTGATGCAGCACCACTTCTGGATGACTCCCGCCCCAACAGACCTGGGTCTGTTCTGAAACATCTTTTTGGATCTCGAGTGCTTCAGAAATTTGATGCATAACCCTGTCAAATTCAGGGGTCCTGTATGTCTTGATGATTTCTTCCAACATGCATTTATGCTGCTGGAGAGCAGTTTTGGTATTATGGAGGTCTTCTTCAATTGTTTTTAGCCGCTGATGAAAAGACTCTCTCATTTTCTGCGCAACAAAACCAAGTTCTGCCCTGATCAGTGAGGTGTCTGCTATTGTGTGGACAAGGCATTGTGGAAAACTAAAACTAACTGTTTCCATTTTGCCTTCTACTTCCTCTTCTTTGGTGCCTAAGTGCTTTTTCAGTTCTTCTACCTGGCTCCAGAATTCACCTTCCAGTAACAGTTTCTTTGATAAGAGGTTGGCCAATGCAATAGCTGTGTGAGAAACATTTGCTGGCTCTAGTAACGCCACCTCAGCTGTCCCATGAATCTCCTGGAGAATCTGGGAAATCTCAGAGCTTGCATTTTTCAGAGAGTCTGCTATTTGGTTGATCAGGGAAGCTTCGAATGCTACCCTCTCAGAAAGCAACCTTAAGTGGTCTCTATTAAACATCTCAGCTTGATGCTGCTGGGAAACTTGTTTCTCTTCATCGAACAAACTTCCTTCTACTTGTGCCGTTTCAGCTAGACTGTCCCTCAGCTGATGATCAGGTGAGATGGGCACGCCCTGCAAGACTCGGACTGCATTTGCTAAAGTGGTTTCCATGCTGGACAGAGTCATAAGAAACAAATTGCTTTCTTTTTCCTTGTCGGAATTGGGCAAAGCTCTTAGCTGCTCTCGGCATTTCTCCAAGCAGGTCAGTGCTTGGCTGTTTTTCATTTGGAAATCCCCCAGCTCACTAACATGATTTTCTACAATCTTGAACTTTTCCTGCCTCTCAGTTTCCAACTGCGAAACCAGAGCACTGACTTGAGACAGGCTCGTTTGGAGCTGCTCCCTCAGCTGAGACTCTGTGCTGGCCCACTGATGGTGAAGGGCTATCAGGGTCTCTTGGTTGTGACCTTGCTGACTTTCCAGTTTCAAGGTCACATCTTTGAGCTTTTCTTCTGTAATGTAAAGTTTTGTTTCCAAGGAATGGATGATTGAAAGATAAGTCTCTGAGTCACTGGCTCCTGAGGATGGGTAACCAAGAGGCAGTTCTGATGACATGCTTTCTTCAGACAATGACCGGTCCTGGCTCGTGTCTGAAGATGTGCTACTAGTCCAGTTCTTCTCTGACCCATCAGCATGGATATATTTTTGGCACTGGATGTTTGAGAAACGGATTCTTTGCCTTTTGGCACCTACAAATCCTGCCTCAGGCTTTGCTAAGATTTTCTGAACAATATCTCTGTCTTGAAGCTCTAGAGACTTGGATGGAGATGCCGGTTCTTCCATACTTGACATGGTGAGTTCAGCAGCCTGCCTTTGCCTGGTCTCCGTACCTTCATCGTCTTCTTTTGGGGTGTAATGCAAACCTGGAAGTTCATCATGAGTTTGGAGATGCTGTCCCAGTTCTGGATTAGGATTTTCATCAGCCTCAAGATTAGTGCAGAAGTCTTCTGCATCTTCAGCACACAGTCCTGAGCCTGCATTAGCTAACTTCTGTAAAGTGTCTTCTTTGGCCTGTAGCTTCACTTCAGTTTCCTCCAAACTGCTACCCAAAGCAGCCATTTTCACCAGAGCCTCATTGAGGTCTTGGTCTTTCTTCTTAACAATTCTCATGTGCATTTCCTTCACATGTCTCAGCTCTTCCTCCTTTTCTTCTAACACTTTTTGCATGCTCTGGAATTGATCTGATACTTCCTCATACGAGTGCTCCAGGTTCTGATAGTTGGTCTCTTCCATTTTCAACTTTGCCTGCAGCTTGGCAACCTCATTATCAGACTCAGCAACTTGATTCATAAGCTCTTGGAACCTACATTTTATCTGATCTCTCTCCCTTTCCAGTTCCTCAATATGTTCAGCCAGTTTCTGGATGCTGGCCTCCTTCATCTCCAGCTGCTCCTCAAGCTGATGCACAATTTCGCTGCCTTCACATTTTGCATTCAGCTTCTCTTTCTGCAGAATCTCCATTTGCTGCTCATTGTTTTGCAGCTGATTCTCATACTCGTTGGCCTTGTCCTCCACCTCCTTCAAACTCTGTATTAAAACCTGCTTTTCCTTCTCGCAGCTTTCCAGCAAAGCCTCGTAATTCTTCTGCAGCTTCTCCTCCATTAGGATGCGGGCCCGTTCACTAGCACTCAGCTGCATGCTCAGGTCTGCAATCCTATCTTGGAGTCTCTGCACTTCTTTCTGGTGGTCCCTTTGCAGTGCCTGCTGCACTTCGAGATCCCTCAGTTCCTGTGTCTTTTCTAGCAGCAGCGCCTCTGCCGCCTTTAACTTTTGCTCGCTGACTTTTAACTGGGAGCTCAGAGTGGTCTCACTGTGCTGCCACTCCTCCAGCTGCTCTTTGGCTTTCTCCTCCTCCATCTTCAAGTCACTTTTCAGCTTGGCCAGAGTTTGCTCTTTGATAGACAACTCCGCTGCGGCATTGCCGAGTCTGGCCTGCAGGCTCTGAATCTCAGCTTCATGGTGCCGAATCACATCCTTTGCTTCACCATAGCTACGTTTCAAGGACTGAATCTGCTGATTGATCAGCTCTTGACGCTGGCACTGGGCTTCCAGTTCGCTTTGGAGATCTTGATTGACTTTATGGAGCCTCTGCCAGGCACCCGATGGCGAGGCGGCCACCTCGGTCTTAAAAAAATTGATTAAATACTAGGTTAGTAACACTCTTGGCTCCCAGTTCTGAGTGTCACACCTCTGGCCAGTCAGGCCATGGAAATGCTCCTTGGGTTGTTTTGGCTGCTTACCCACATGCTCCAATTTTAGATGGTTTCTGTTCTCGGTATGTAATTTTTTATTTTATTTTTTTAAATAAACCAGCTTTTTAAAGTGGGGCGACAGCTGCTTCTGATTAACAGAAAACATGGACAGTAGCATCAAATCAGCTCTAATATAACAAACTCTACAAGAAAAACTGAACAAAATCAAAGCAATGGAAAAGAAACAAGTGAAACAGGGACAGAAGGACAAGAACGATCAGAAAGAGTGAGGACAAAAGGGAGGGAGGGGATGGGAACAGGCTGACAGAAGAGCTGCTCAATTTGGTGCGTTTGTTTGTTTTGTGGTGAAACAAAAAGTGCACAGTTCCAGATAACAAGGTTTTATAGAACAAGAGCAACAACAGGAAGTGAGGTTGAAAGTGAATGACATCACTTCCTGCCAGGCCACAGGAAGATGAGATGGCTGCCGTAGTGATGTCATTTCTGCAATGGCTAAACAGGCTTCTTTAGCGGCTCATCTTTTGAAAAAGATAGGATGGCTAAAGCTTAAAAGTGGGAAGGATCTACAATCGCTACCTGTAAAAAATAAAACAAAAGGCAAGTGAAGGGGAAAAAAGGCATGATGAGAATGTAAAATAAAACAAACAAACCTTTGTGAGATTCAAACCAAAGCAGTGTCACATGCAGAGAGAGAGAGCGAGCTCACAGAGAGTCATGCAAAAGGCAACAGAAATTAAATACCTTGAAAAAAAAATACACAAACAGGAAGAGGAAAGAGGAGCACAGCGTTAAGCCTAGGTGTTTGGCCTGCCTTGCTGTACTCTGTCTGCTGGTAGGGAAAGCCCACAGATGTGACACTCAGTTACGGTAAGATCAATCCCATGCTTAACATGCAAGAGTATCCCCCCCGGACAGGTTAGTTAGTACAGTGCCCGCTCCCACCCTCCACCACCAGAGCGAGAAGACATTACAGGGGTCCTGGAAAGAAAGTGTGAGGTGCAGCACTTTGCCACCTGTTAGCAGACAAAGGGTTTGAGATGTACCGCTTGTGATTAAACTGGACAGCAAGAGATGGAGGAGAGTTTGTAAGAGACCAGAAAGGGCTTCAGTGCAAGGTGCATGCGTCAGTCCCGGTTACTGTTCATCCTTTTCAGCATTTTTAAGAAATGTGCAGAATCTTTGGGGCTGTCACAAATCTGAGAGCTTTAATGCCCAACATGCATCTACAAAAGGAAAGGAGCTGGGGCCAGGGCTGGGCAAGACCTCAGAAGATGCAGAGATTCAATCAGATCAAATGCCCTAAAGTTGATGCAGACTTATGAAAACAGGACCGTTTCCAATTTCAGGCATTATCTACTTGCCAGGGGTTAGAAATACTCAAGGCTCATGGGGAATTCTGACTCCTCTGCTTCCCAGTGACACTGGGAAATGCAAAGCTGCGGGTGTCTAAGGGGAGGGAGCAGAACATTTCTGAACCCTCCAAAAAAATCCAACTTGATTTTTGGATGACAGTTTGAGCAAATTGTAACCATACGAATGCACAAGCTACTTAGGGATTTTGCTTTCAGTCCTAACACCAAAGGCATTAGGGCTGACTTGGACGTCCCAAGTCTGCTGAAGCAGGTCTGGGTAGCTGATTTTGCACTAGCCGACTATCTTCCGGGCTCCAAGCTAAGGGAGGTAGGATGCCTTTGCTCCAGGGAAACAGTAGCTAGCCTCTTGGTGTGGAAATGTGGGATTCTGTGCAGGGCCTATGGCCAATGTGAGTTGCTGCCACAACAGAAGATCAAATGCGTGGTTTAGGAACAGGAAGCTACAGCTGCACATCATGAAGTCACCAATCCAAGCAGCACTAGGGAGTTTATTAACAGACAACAGGCCTGGCCAGGTTCCTGCCCCTTCCCATGGGTGGTCCCTCACCAACCTTGGAAGTTCTCTTGGTCTTGCTGTTCTTTCTGTTTAACAGGGTTAAATAGACTCCTGAGTTGGCTATTGGGAAATCAGTGGGGGAAGGGGGCAGGGGGTTCCCTGCAGCACAGCTGGCTTGTTCACTAGATACATGTAGGTTTCCTCCTGGAAGGATCTCTACTCTCCTTTTGGTAGCTTCTCTCTCCCCTGAGATCTAAGAGTGTGAAGGTCATGGCTTTAGAGCACTGTGCCTACCACCTGGGGTCTCTGGGCCCTACTGCAATGCAAGTCCTCCCCGCTGTCCCAAAGGTAACAGCAAGGAAACACAAGTTGCTCCCCTGGGCTAGGTATACCCCCACCCCAGCTCAGCCAGCCCAAGGGGAGAACACAGGCTGGGGTGTCAAATCCAGAGCTCCCCAACATGGTAGTGCCAAGTACAGCTGCATGGCTGCCTTGACCCAGGGTTGATGCAGCCAAGGAAGAGTGAGCTCTACTCCATGCACAAAACATTTTTGCCGGGCCAGCCTGAAGCAGCCCCACAGACTTTCCTCCTCTGAGGATGCTGTTGTTGGCTGTATCTGGGCACCTGGGGGAAGGGAACAGCTTTTCAGTAGCTGCTCCCCTTTCTTCTTTAACCAATCCAAAACAGGATTCCAGACAGAGCAACTCAGAGGTCCATCATGCGGCCAAAGAACAGTGCTCTGGAAGAAAGGCCACGTAGCCAAAGGACTGGTCCCGGCTCTGGCTGTGCAGAACAGGAGATGAGAGATGTGCATGCATGTGTAAGATTGCACATGTGGGGGGACAAACATTGCTGACAGCTCTGCCAAGGCCATGCCTGCTACAGCTCCTTTCCCCTCAGCAGAATATGGCTGGT